AACTATTTTACCACTATGAATTAACATATTGGTACATCTGCATATGGGCCTTCAACATAAACGTTTTCCAGCAGTATTTGCTTAACGGAACAGATCATAAATAAGTTTTGTTCAAGTTTAATCAGCAGTTTGTGGACTATGAAAATAATGATGCTCAATTGCCAGATGTTATTTAAAAAAAAATCCTGCTGCAACATGGAGTTAAGACAAAAAAGGAACAACAGAAAATGGAAGGAAAGTAGACACAAGCGGTCGTCCTCAGGCAGAAAAAATATAATCCAGCAGTGGAACTGCTGAACTGATCAAGATGAGACATAAAGAGATTTTACACATGGAATCACATTGAGAGACAGAAGAGGAACACATGGATTAGAGAACTTGCGCAAGTTAAAGACATCATTTGACTATTAAGAAAATAATGTGGGCTGGACAAGTCGCTAGAACAGATACTGGCCAGCAGTCTAAGAAGGAAATACACCCAAGAGAATGTTCATCATGCGTACATCGTTGCATTGCAACACCGCGAGAGGCGGCGACAGCTTGGGAGGCTTTCATCCAGCAGTGGATTGCTCACGACAACTGCCGACGACGACGACGATAAACAGCCTCTTACGACTGCTGCGGGGGTACTCGATCAGTACAATATTTTTGTTGCACATGGCATAGTGAATACGTGTCCTCTTGGCCGATTATAAATTGAGCAAGGTGGCTGTCACTCAAGGCAGGCAGGCAGGCACGGAGCCGTGGCCTTGAGACCAGTTTGTCCGGTCGCCCCAGGTAAACAACCACTCCCAGCGCACCATCATCACCTCAGGACGCCAACGTGGCACCTGCTCACATTGAAAGGCACTGGACCGGCGTTCGAGGGAGGATTTCAGAAATAGTTCTTCCGCGTCCTTGCTGAATATTTCAAATAAAAAAATAGTTTTTACCTACACCAGTCATTATAATGACTTTCCTTACAATGTAAATGGTGAGCAGGAAGTCCAAATAAATATGAATCTCTACAGGGCCATAACAGCTTTAGGAGAGGGGTAGAGGCACTTGCTGCCCACCCTATTAAACAGATACTAAGACATCTGAGCATATTACATTAATCAATGCGCATTTGTTATAGTGGTTATTGGTGCTTCAATAATGCAACCTTATTGATACCAGCCAAATGTCTGACTGAGCACACGTTTTTATTTAAGTTTCATTATTTAATATTATTTTCATCAGAAAATCTTAACAATGGGATTTTCCCCCAATGCATACACTGTATTATTATATTTGCGTTCGTGTGTTTCTCAGCACTTATTTAAACCGATATCTCCCTTGAAAATGACTCCTAAACTGAATGCGCTCATACCCGGTTATGAATAAAGGTCATTTATGTACGTTTATGTGTCTATGCACTTTTTACGGCTTGCTGTGTATGCATTCTCGATGCAAATCCATGAGAAATAAAAAAAAATATTGCAACCATTCCTAATTCAAACGGATGAAGCCCACACCACGCACACCGTATTGGTCATGCCTTGTTTTTTGACCATACTTCACCAGGCAAGGTCACTGCAGTTTGGGGTCTCTAAGCCAAGGTTAGTTTGCTGTAACTACTTCTACCCAGGTCTCCCCTTGAGAAAAAGACTCCTGGTCTCAAAGGGTTCTCACATGATCCTAAATAAAGGTCTCCTACTGTCACCAACATCTGAGTAAATAATACAATTCTTCACTTATAAATAACGCAATTCAAGACTCTCGCTTTGAGTGGCCAGCCAACTTGAGAGTTCTGCACACACATACAGAACATAAACAAAACGAACATAAAATCTGGCACTGCATTGGATCAAGACCCAAGCAGTAGGCAACCGTCAAGAAAATGTGGAATTTCCATCACTGCATCAAGACCACCATTGCAGATGAGCAATCATGTGTCACGTCTGTGCATGCAGCTTAAGACAGGCAGCAACCTCCCCTCAATAAAAAAAACTATTATGGCAAAAACAATTTAACATTACACATCAAAATTTATCCGAATGTCAATGGAGACTTGGGGCCCAACGGTGAAAATTCCACATTGTTATGGTGTGGGTCAGTCCATCAAATAGGCCAACCAATGTTGACTTCCAACCAAGAGGTCCTACTTTTATTATCAACAACGTTGGAATTAATGGTTCAGTGAAACACTCCTGACTACGTCGTTTGGCGGTCGACTCAACCAATCATCCTTACTGGGTCAATAAACCAGTTTGTGGGAGGTTAACAGTGGTTGTCCTCTATGGACTGACTTCAGGCACAGAAATGTGAAATTTACACTGATCAGAGCCACCTTAGTCACATGGCCTCTCCACGCCATGTTGGTCGTGGATTTTTTACCATACTTCACCATGCTGGTCAATGTACTGTGTGTAGGCTGAACTTATTTCGGACCGTACGTAGCCAACCGTGCTAATCGGAGATGCGGGTTGGTCAAGTGCTGGGACAGCAGGAACAATTCAGATATCACTTGCCACTGATGTTAGCCGTGGAAGGGACTCGAACTCGGGTTGTCAAGTTCATAGCAGCGCAGTGCGATAACCACTGCGCCTCCCTATCCATTGCAATTAAGATAACAGGCCATTAAAAACGCAACGAGAGGCAAATAGGTCATATCTACGATATCTTATCTGGTAGCTATTACTGACTTTTGGACGCGAATTTTAACCGTTGTTAAAGAGAAGAAAATACCTTAACGGCACGGTCAGGCGCCAGCAGTTTCAACCAAGTGAGCGTCTCAAAGTTTACTGAGAAGTTAAATGTACATATATACGGCCATTTTTGTCAATCCACTGCTGGATAAGGGAATCGTTACGCCCAGCACAGTGGTGTAAATTCCACATTATTATGGGGGGGGGGGGGGGGGGGGGTGGGAGGCAAGCCCATCCAAAAAGGACAACCAATATTGACTTCCAACAAAGTGGTACATACTCTTTACTTTATCGACCGCCACACTGGGTCAGGGCGAGTTGAAGGAGGCGCAACAGAGACCCGGGGAGCACAGAAGTACAGTACAACAGTTGCTTTTTTTCCTGCACCGCTCTCTGCTTCCACACAAAATTGCTCCCCTCACCCGTATAGCAAACCAGTTTGTTGCTACCCAGGCTCAAACCTGCTTAACTTGAGATCTGGCGAGAGCGGGTCCAATTCCTGCTGATGTTTGGCTACAAGGCTATTTAAAGGCAAGGCGGGAGAGAGCGAGTAAAAATGTAAGCACATAATTTGGCAATTCTGCTGCTGCTGCTACCGTTAACAGTGGTGCACAAAAAAATACAGACTAAATGTCTACACGTTCGTCAATAATACTTGCGTTAAACATTACGTGGAGAAATATACGGCTGCAAAGCTATATATATTATTGGTTCTTTCTGTAAAGTCACGTAGAAGGGAAACAATAAAATAATAAAAATATAAAACAATAAAATTATCATGACGTTTCGACTGCAACACAAGCAATCATCATCAGGTGTGAAATTTTTCAAATTTTCTTGCTGTGGTTTTCACACCTGATGATGATTGCTTGTGTTGCAGTCGAAACGTCGTGAGCATTTTATTGCTTTATATTTTTATTATTTTATTGTTTCCCTTCTACGTGATTTTACCGAAAGAACTAAGAATATGAATCCCTGCAGTCACGAAAGCTTTAAATCAAGACTGAAAAGCTGTCAACCCATACGGTTTACCCCGTATTCTTGTGCAGGGAAAATTAGTGTTCAGGTCCATACGGCGTACAGCCGTTTCAATACGGGCATCAACAAAATAAGTAATATTTTAAAAACACTTTTTTTTAAAACACGCTTTAATGAAATGTACCGTACTAGTAATGGAAAAAAACTCCACGACTTCCAGGAAGTGGCCCCGAAGCTTGCCACAACGTAAGGGGGACCGTGGGTCAATTACAGCCAACGTCAGTTAACAGTGGACAATTTTGACCCAAGCCAAAACATCTAACATAAAAAAAGAATGTTTTAAATTATATATTTTTTATTGATAGAATATAGTATTGTCATCAGTATGACATCAGTATACCAGGTTTGCAGTCGAAACCACATTGGAAAGTGGGTTAAAATTGAGTTACAATATTTGAGGATACAACAACGGCAACAAGTTAAATAAAAGCGTGTAATAAATAAAATAAAAACATTTATTTGTGTTTTTCCCTTGTGATGGGGACTTTGTCGGATGAACGTTGAGATTTATAAGGGGCACGGGGTGACCATTAAGGTCTGAACTGGTCTGTAACAGCATAGGGCCACTGTGATAAGGGGTTGACAGGTGTCTGTAGAACTTCTTTCGCACCGTACGTAGCCAACCCGGCTAATCACAGGCGACGTTTCGGGCAATATCCCGTCTTCAATAGCACATGCGTGCATTCGCGCATAGATCCATTGACAGTATCTCCTTCACACGTGCGTCTCCACATATAAAGTACGTGCGTGTATTCTTACACATCCCTTCAGCCACGCGTAATTTCAGCAGCGTTGAGATCGAGAGGCAATAAACGCTGGGACCGGTTTTGACACCACGGTGTCTCATCAGCAGTGAGGCTTGCTGGGGGGAAATCGATGGTGTCTCTGCCGATATCACAGACACGGATCTGCCTCTGTAGGCTATGGGGGGGGGGGGGGTGGTGGTGGGTCCAACCGAGTTCCGACGCTAAAGTGACGGTCCTTCTCCAGGCTGCGCGCTATTGATTTGTATTAAATATACACATTACCGCGCGTTTGCGTCATCGGTGCGCTGTAACGACATTATCAACGTACACAGTTTCCGGGGTGTTTTTTTTACACGTAAAAAGGGTTTTCAGAAGCAAAATCTAACACGGCGCGAGAGTACATTTAACGTCGCCAAGTCGTCATCAGATCGCCACGACGACGCCAACAATGCGCAACGATAAACTTTCCACGTAAGACAAAAAAAACGATACTTTTTTTCATATTATTTTTTTAAACCACACACGCACATCTAAAACAAAAACAAACCGTAATGAGCGCCTTGCCGAGGCACACGGAGCCGCGGCATCCAAACTCGGTGTCGTGCTCAGACTTGTAGTAGCTCAGCGTGCCGTTCGCCAACATCACGTATCGCTCCTGCCAGCCGTGCAGGTAGTTGGTCCACTTGCTAAGCGTTCCCGCGTACTCCACGCCGCCGCACTCGCCTCCGGAGGCCGACGAGCCCGACCCGGACGACGCCGTCGACGACGACGACGCGACCTCGTCCGCGTCGTCTTCGTCGGACAGCGTCGGGCTGTGGTTTTCCTTCATCGCCGCGGTCGACTTTCCCTCAGAAATGTTCTCAATTTTGACGGCGACGACGGCGGCGGCGGAGGGGGGGGTGAGGCGATGAGAGTTGGTCGCACTTTTGCTTGTGTGCCAAGTGCGCACACCGCGCGCGTTAGGGACGACGGTTGTCGAGCGGCGCCAAAAACGTAAACATCCGCGCACGCGACGCGCTCGCGCCCATAGCCAGTTGGCGGTGGGTTGCGGAGGTGGGGGGGGCGTAACGTGACGCGGAGGGAAGGAGGGGGCGTGTAAGTTTCGGCGGCCCGAGCCAATAGGGACGCGAGAATCGGCCGTTAATTTATGCGCGCGCGCGCGGGCTGTACACGCAATTGTCACGCGCGCGCCGCAAAAGAAACGACGGAAAAAAAGGGGGGGTTGCATAAATTATGTTAATGTACAAGCTTAGACTGGTTGTGACGCGTTATGCTAATGAGTGGTGGGAATAATGATTGCCGGGCGTAGTTCGGAACCAATGGAAACGTGAGATGCGACCGTTAATTTATTAATTTATGAGAAGAGCGAGCGTGGGGCGGGGGGTAACGTAAACATGTTAATGACACGTGGGCCCATGTTACATAAGTAATGTTGACGTGACACCTGCAGGTAACCGCTCCACCTCGTGGAACCAGTGAAGACACACCGCGTCAACCCATACGGTTCATGCCCAGTATTCTTGTACTAATGTACAGGGAAATTGAGTCCTTCAAGTCCATACGGCGTACAGCCGTTTCAATCCGGGCAAAATAAATGTGATTTAAAGCTTTCGTGACTGCAGTAATTCATATTCTTAGCTCTTTCGGTAAAGTCACTTTACCGAAAGAGCTAAAAATATATATTTTATTATTTTTTGTTTCCCTTCAACGTGACTTTACCGAAAGAGCTAAGAATATGAACATATATTTTTATTATTTTATTGTTTCCCTTCAACGTGACTTTACCGAAAGAGCTAAGAATAATAAAAATAAATGTGTTTAAATTTTGATTGAAAGCTTTCGTGACTGCAGTAATTGATATTCTTAGCTCTTTCGGTAAAGTCACGTTGAAGGGTGACACCTGATGACGACCGTTTGTGTTATGGTCGAAACGTCGTGAGAATTTGTATTTTTTATATTTTGTTTCCTTTCAACGTGACTTTACCGAAAGAGCTAAGAATATAAATGTGTTTGTCTATTTGTTTGTGTTTCTCTTTTGTCATGGTGACTTTGGGGCCGTCCATAAATGACGTCACGCACCTAGGGGGGTGGGGGAGGGGTCAGACATTGTGACGATATGTGACGAGGGGGGGGGGGTTTGAGAAATGTGACGTCACATCAGAATGTGCAACTTTAAATAAATATAGACAACACTTTCTACTTATATTGTTGGTTATTTCGGTAAAGTCACGTAGAAGGGAAACAATAAAATAATAAAAACATAAAACAATAAAATTTGAAATTTTCTTGCTGTGGTTTTTATTATTTTATTGCTTCCCTTCTACGTGGTGACTTTACCGAAAGAACCAAGAATATGAATCCCTGCAGTCACGAAAGCTTTAAATCACGTTCTACTTAATTAAATACACGTTTTAATAAATGTTTTCTCCTACAACATCACATTAAATACGCACTACAATGACAATAGTTTAAAGCGATTTGAAGCATGTTTAATTTGTTTTGGGGCGGGGGCAGAGCTTTGTGACGTCATATTTGAGGGGGGGTCTGACTTTTTGTGACGCCGTGTGACGAGGGAGGGGGGTCACAATCGTCCCAAATCGCGTGACGTCAATTATGGACGGCCCCTTTGTAGGATGAGCGTTGATATTTATAAGGAGCACGGGGTGACCAATCAGGTCTGAATTTGGTCTGTAATAAGTTAGGACACTGATAAGGGGTTGACAGGTTTGTGAAGATGAATTGATAAATGGACGTTAAATGCCTCGTTACATCGTCGTTGGCAAAAGTAGGCTGTGTAACAGGTGTCAACCCACAAAACCAATGCTGTATATATTTTAATTACCTAAAGACAAAGATCCCCGGTATAGCCTAAACAGACTTCTGAACCAAGTGCGGTTTGCGAGCACCTATGAAGGCCGGCACGGCACACGAGGGGGTGAGTGGCCAGCACCACGCCTGGTCGTCTTTGTCTCCCTAGCGGCGATGTTTACACAGCATTAGGTACTCATTTGAGGCTGAGTCGATCTAGGGGAGGAGGCCCAGGACCGGTTCGGATAATCGTCACTGGTGTTGGCCGTGAGCGGGAATCGAACTCAGGTCACTGTTGGGTTCGTAACGCAGTGCGCTAACCGCTCCCCGTATATATATTTTTTCCCCTCAACATTTAGAATCATGCTTTTAGAATATTTGGTAGATTTAAATGTTCCCCGTGATAAGCCACTTCGTTGAGCTATCATTTGTGGCCCAGGTGGCTTCTTAAAAAAAAAATAGCTCAGTGGGTCTTACCTGGTAAATTATAATCGTTTGTAGTTTAAAAATAGTTTATCGTTTATATTCTTGGTCCTTTCGGTAAAGTCACGTAGAAGGGAAATAATAAAATAATAAAAAATAAAACAATATTGTTTTTTGTAATTGTTTTTTTTTCCCTTCTACATGACTTCACCGAAAGAACCAAGAATATGAATCCCTGCAGTCACGAAAGCTTTAAATCGAAATTTAAAGTTTATAGTTTGTTTTATTACCTAACAGAGACACACACACACACGCCATGCTGTACAGCTCGTAGTCCTGTATGTCAAAACACTTGTTGTGTCGGCTTCTTCCATTGCAGCGCGCTCCTTTGTTATTCCCTCCCGTCGTCTCTTTCCCCCCCCCCCCAAGTTGTGATTTGTAACCGTGCCTAATTCAGAGAAACGAATCGTAGGTAACTCCAACTGTGGCCACTTCTATTGGGTCCTAATTGTTGCAGGCCGTTTGGCGTCTTTGGGCCTGTGCTCGGCAATCGTGATTTAAGTCAAATAGAAAGCACAAACAAAAAAAATGAACTGTTCAACATATTTTATTGGGAAATTAAAATGGAAAGCTAAACATAGGCAAAACACCACAAGCAAGAATTGTTGCTGCATTTTAATTCAGAAATATCGCAACGTTTAAACCCAATTATATTGTCTTGTCGTGTCCCGATCAACCAGCCTCCAATGTCAACTCCTCAGTATGTCTGAGTGGCAATGCGTTATGTCCGACCCAAAGATCGGACGATGATTCGGAAACTCCAGTCCTCACGGCCCACTAAAAAGCGAACTGACAGTGGTGCTTTTGGTGGCGATGGGGGCAGTAGTAGTTGCGACAGTGTTTGTGGCAGCCATTGCAGTGGTAGTTGACGATGGCAGCGGTGCTGATGGTGATGGTGTTAAGACTATGATAGTGTTGGTAGTGCTGAAGGTGTTGATGTAAGTGGTGTTGGTGGGTATGATTTTGGTTGTGGTGGTGTTGGTAGTAGTGTAGTGTTAGCAGTGGTGGTGGCAAAGGCAGCAGTGGTGAAGGTTGTGGTGGCTATGTCAGTTAAAGCGGTGGTGATGCTTGTTAAGTGGTGCTGACGATGGATGTTTCAGTCGCGTCTGCGGTTGTGTTGGTAATGGTGGTTGTGGTGATTATGGAAGTATCAGTAGCGTCGATGGTAGTCGTGGCGGAAGTGTCGGTATGTGTCTGGTGGTGGTAGTAGTGGTAGTATTTTTAGCGGTGGTGGTGTTGTCAGTGTCTATGATGGTGTTGGTAGTGGTGGTAATGTTAGTACAGACAGAAGTAGTGTTGGTGGTGATGGAGATGTTGGCGATGACGATGGTGGTTATCGGTGCAAAAGGCGATGGTGTTGGAGGTGGTGGACGTGGAGGTGGTGGGGGTGATTGACGTAGACTTTTATGGACGTGTTGGTAGAAGTGATGGCCGTGGTGGTGGAGGTGGTGGAGGTGATGGACGTAGAGGTGATGGGACGAGGTGGTGATGGACGTGGTGGTGGAGGTGGTGGAGATGATGTACGTGGAGGTGATGGACGTGGTGGTGATGGACGTGGAGGTGATGGACGTAGAGGTCATGGAGGTGATGGACGTGGAGGTGATGGACGTGATGGACGTGGTAGCGGCGGAGGGGTGATGGGCACTGGAGCTCGAGCGCCTCTAGGCCGAGCAGCCTGGCCGCTCGCTGGGTCACACGATCGGGTAAGTGGCATCGCTGGCGACACCACAGTTGTTGTTTCTGTTTCTCGCCAGCCTCATGTAGCCTTGCTCTCCCCACCCAGCGCCCCAGCTACACACAACACACACACACAACATGCACCGTGTCTGCAATACACGATCGTGTTTGGTCTTCCTATGTTAGGTTACGTTTGCTCGTTACAGGCACGGATTAATTTCTCATAAAAAAATATATATGTTCTCCGGGTCATTGGTAGGCTGGAGTAGTAGGCGCGTGACTCGTAGCTACAGCTATTAGTGTTGAGACCTATACTGGATGTGGGACATAGGAGGGCTGGTAATACATTTACAGAGGGACCTTCACACAAGCAAAGTGAAAAGTCGTGTCCAAGGCAAGTCTCGCCTGCTACTGCTGCTGTGACATGGATCAGACATTGTGGAGAGTGACACAGTGGAACAAAGTGACTGGGAATGGAATAAAGAATCTCGGAGGGGTTTACACTTGGAATAACACAGCACTAAGTAAAACTTAGGGCCGTAATCTGAGTCAGAGCTGGTTCCGGCTTGGCTCTGGCTCAAGTGAGCCAACCCAAAGCTATACGCTTACTTTATTTATTTTATTGCACCAGGTTTAAGTTCCGAATGAGCTGTGTAGCTCTTTTTCAGTGACCTGGCTATCACAAATGATAGCTCAAGTGGCTTATCATCGTGTGGAAATTTATAGCAGGCAAATACTCTAAACGCGTGTTAATTCTTAAATGTGGAGGGAAAAACCGGATGACCCGGAGAAAAATCCACGTGATCACGGGGAGAACAAGCAAACTCCAAATATACAGCAGGCGTCAGGGTCAGAATCGAATCCACGGCCTCGTGTATACCAGACGAGGTAGTGAACATCTCCTAGCTACCGTGGTGATGAGAGAGAGAGACACGCAAACTCCAAATATACAGCACGCATCAGGGTCGGGATCGAACCCACGATCTCCTGTATACCAGACCAGGTAGTGAACATCTCCTCGCCACCGTGGCACCTCATACTTTACTTTAGCCGACACCCGGCAAGGTCCCAGGCTCCCAGCTAAGTTCGGGATTTCCGCTAGCTGAGCCTGAAGCCGAGCCACGGCTGAGCTACTCATTCGGCTCAAAGCTGAGCCGAGGCCGCGTTAGAGCCCGAGGCGGAGCCGGAGCCAGAGGCGAGCCACCACTACAACAAAATCCGCCTCTTTGTTTCTTGTTACAGCGTGACGAGGCGAGCGCCTCACACATAACGTGACTTCCACTGCAACACTGCACCCGCTTATGTCGCGGCTGCCCCCCTCCCTAACCCCCCCTCACCCCCCCCTTAACCCCCCGCAACTCCTCCCCCCCCCTCACCACCACCCCATCACCTTTCACCCCCCAGCCACCCCTCACCTGTTCTTCAGCAGCCAGAAATCCTTGCCATCCTCCGTGCCGTATCCCACGGCCAGCATGGAGTGGTGCAGCCTGTTGGCTTTCTTGCGGCAAAAACGGCTGTAGTAGATGCCTGTACGGGAACCACAGGAATCATCGCTCGCTCACTCGCTCGTTCATTCGTTCGCTCGTTCATTCGCTCGTTCATTCATTCAAATCATTGATTCGCTCGTGTGAGCTAATGGATGGATTTAAACCCAGGTGAGAGCTCCTGGTTATAGAGTACGACTGTTGAATACACCTAAAATAACAGCCAAGCACATGTTTAAGATTAAACCGAAGTAAAGCAACGTGGCGCTCGCAACGCGGTCGTCCTGCCAGAACATTGAATTTGTTGTCGATGAACATTAAAGGCATCCCTTTAAAGCTGCGTCATCTGATATGATGCTAATCAAGTGTCAACAAAAATACCAGAAGACATTTTTCGCTCATAATATTTTTAGGCTTAAATTTTCCCCACCCAATAATTTTAAATTAAATCTGCTTCTCCGCGGCACACAGCGCAGCTCCCAATCGAGTTAGGGAGAGACTATATAATGAACGCAGTCAGCAGGAACGACGTCTGTCCAGCAGCTGGACCAAGTAGGTACCAACGGGTGAAACAAGCGGAGCGACAGCGGCGGTAGTATCATGGGGCAGCAGCAGCACCACAAACTGTTTGAAAGTTATCACTGAAGGCCTACGAAGCAGAAGTTCCTAGGGCCCACAAGAACCTTTGTCCGGCGCTCGTCCACACAAGGGTGGGTTTGCTGAGAGCAGGGAGGATCAGAGAGAGCAGGGGGAGTTGAGAGCAAGTATGGGGTTGGAGTTGAGAGGAAGGGAGGTTTGGGGTCACGGGGGGTAATCAGAGTGGGTTTTGGGGATCATGGGTTCACCCACTGCGGGTGTCATGGGTATCTGGACACCCCCAACATATCCACACGAGGATGGTAGGGTGGTGAGATGAGCCACTCGCTCTACCGCTCATGCCGCGAGATGTTAACTCCCTCGCCATGTATGCAAGGAGGTCGTCGTTTCGATCCCGACCCTGACGCCTGCTGCTGTATATTTGGAGTTTGCGTGATGCTCTCCCCGTGGTCGAGTGGATTTTTCTCCGGGTCCGCCAGTTTTTCCTTTCACATGTTAAATCAACATCACGCGTTTAGCGTATTCGCCTGCTGCTATACATTTTTCGCACGCGGTAAGCCGCTTTGTTTAGCTTGCATTTGCGGCCACGTCGCGTCTGAATACGAACTACATAGCTCAGTGGGCCTTACCTCGTAAAATAAAAAATAAACTGTTTTATTTTTTTGTATTCGCCCATAACGTAACGGGGCCTCGCAGAGCGCAGATAACCACTGGGAACCATTCGCCCAGTGGTTCTTAACCGGGGGGTGCGAGACGCCCTTTCTGGGGGTGCGAGACATGGCCGGATTTTTTTTTATAAGGTCAATTAAGCTCGGGGCACATAAGTAAAAACTTTCCTTGTTTCATCAAACCCTGTGCAGTTATTAACATTGTACTTTTTTTAAATTTACGACCGAGAACCAAAGATGTGCAATGCTGCCGTAAAGGTTAAGAACCACTGCCTTGGCAAGTAAGGGGCCGTCCATAAATGACGTCACGCACCTGGGGGGGGGGGTCAGACATTTGTGACGATGTGAGACGAGGGGGGTTTGAAAAATGTGACGTCACATCAATGTGTGCAACTTTAAATAAATATAGAATTGTTCTAACAACACTAATTGTTATAACAACACTCCGACAACATCAGAGTGCAGCGCCACATTAAATATGCACTACAGTGACAATAGTTTAAAGCGATTTGAAGCATGTTTTATTTTCAAAATGGAAATATGGTTTTGGGGGGGGGGGCAGAGCTTTGTGACGTCATATTTGAGAGGGGGGGGGTCTGACTTTTTGTGACGCCGTGTGACGAGGAGGGGGGGGGGGTCAAAAATTGTCCAAAATCACGTGACGTCATTTACGGACGGCCCCTAAGGGCACAGCTTGCTCAACATCCAGGGCGCAGCTATTGCGCAGTTTCCCCTGCGCGAGAGATTGGGGGACATCGGGAGGGAGAGAGATGGGGAGATGGGACGGCGTGCAGGTGGAAGGAGGATCTTGTGGGAATCGTGGTTGCGGATGGGGCTTGTACGGACCGGAACTGTAGAAGATCTTGATGTGCCGCGCGTCGATTGCCACCGCCACTGGCCCCTCGGTGGCCAAGGCGGCCTGCAGGTGGGCCTCGCTGCCGCTGGGGATCCTCTTGTAGCCGGAGACCCTCACCGGGGAACGCTGGCTGATGTTGAAGCGACACGCAATGTTGTCCTGCGGGCGGGCGGGCGGGCGGGCAGTCAAACGCGATGTAAATGACGTGCGCAAAATCATTACAATCAATGGGCAAAATCATTACAATCAATGGGCAAAATCATTACAATCAATGGGCATCGCAGCTATGTCCCCATACAGGGGTGGGGGAGCACGGGGGTGAGAGCCAGAGCAGAATGCGGGGTCGACGAAAGGAAATCGCGTTGTCACTCACTCCCTCCTCATTCCGATTGAGCGTTTAACACTCGTGTTGAGTTTGTTGAACATCGACTTGTGTCTCGTGCCCCATCACCCCCCCTCACTTCCCCCCTTTTAATCAAGGTCACGCCGCGGGATTGCCCAGGGCCCATGCATGTACGTACGTTGAACTTCTTTCGCACCGTACGTAGCAAACCGTGCTGATGGGAGGTGCAGTGTTGAGTCTATGGGCAGTGCTAGTCTATGTGCAGTATGTATGTTGAACTTCTTTCGCACCGTACGTAGCAAACCGTGCTGATGGGAGGTGCAGTGTTGAGTCTATGGGCAGTGTTAGTCTATGTGCAGTATGTATGTTGAACTTCTTTCGCACCGTGCGTGGCCAACCGTGCTGATCGGAGGCGCGTACTGTTTGTACGTACTGTGTATTCTGTATGCGGTGTTGTGTGTACTGTGGTGCGTGTGCTGCATTCGTGTGCCGTGTGCACTACGTTGTACGTTTGTATGTTGAACTTCTTTCGCACCGTACGTAGCCAACAACCATGCCACGCTGCTGCCGCCACCTCTGCTACCCCGGCACGTACCCTGCCCTCGTACGGGTAGCTCTCCTCCGTGTTGATGCCCTGCATCTGCTGCACAGCGACGAACCCCATGCTCGCCGAGCCTTTGCGGCAGCCGCGCGCGCCGTACGGGCGCGAGCAGTCGATGAGCTGCTGCTCGCTGAGCTCCAGCAGCTCGCCGCTCCGCTTGATCTTCCAGTGGCTCTCCATCGCGCCCGTGGCCGAGAAGGCCCACGAGGCCCAGCAGTTCCTCTGCCCCACGCCCCCCCCCGGGGGTACGGAGAAGGGGAGACGACGGCACGGGGAGGGTCACCGGGCGGCACGGGAAAGGTGTGGAGGTTTTCCGAAATTGTTTGTTATCCCGAGTAAAATAACCCCACATTGTTATCCGTGCAACTTTTTTTGAGAGGGTGACTGCCAGCTGAGAGACACGGCTGCAAGAGTTAATAAACAAGATATGAACAATGTAATTAAATTAAACCAAATTTTCTTAAAAATCAATGACGTATATTCGCATTTGAATCGTTTCGACCTCAATAATGTCTAAGTTATTACAGTGACAGCAGAGTGGTGATCCCCAGAGGAGAGACCGGTGTGTGTGTGTGTGTGCGCGCGGAACTGAATTTCGAGTCACCACATCCAGTGAAACCTCTCTCGCTGGTCATGTGCCCCTTTCCCGGTTCCCGAACTGTTACAGCCTCACGTCGGCTCTCTGCTGTCGCCCCCTCGGAGTGGAACTCTCGACCCCTTTGCACATCGGCAACGTTAAATGCACTGCTACTTTCAAGAGAGATCTAAAGGCCTCTATCTGTGTTGGGTCAGGCTTCCGAGCAGCTCAGAGCTTGGCTCCGTGCCTCTGAGTTATTGCCTTGCCTGCAAAATCTGGCGCGTTATAAATGTAATTATTATTATTACAAGGGACCCTTTCTACAAAATAATATTTATGCACACGACTCACCACATCCAGTATGCCTCTCCAGCTATGGCTGTGACTACCAATCATGTGGTAGTTTGTTTTACCTAGATTGAAAACTAATTTCTGTAGAACTGCTTTTATGTGCTTAGTTGGTCGTCCTTCTCCCGCATCTCCAATTAGCGCGTTTGGCTACGTATGGCGCGAAAAAAGTTCAACATACACGCGTATACATGTGCCACCTCCCAGTCTGCCAGTGACCCGGAAAATATTTCTGCGCCCTGGGCACCACATCCAGTATACCTCTCCAAATATAGAGCTGTAGCTACTGGCGACGTGCCGACTACTCCAGTATACCCGTAGCCTGGGAAATATTCAGTGAAAAATGAAACCCTGGGTACATCCCCATGAAAACCACTCTCACAGGGTAAAAGGTAAAAGGTGGAGCCCCACAATTTCTTGTTCACGCCACTGCTGGTGGAATGGTCCTCCACTAGAGAGAGCTCTAGAAAATGCTTTGGCCTACTCTTCCACACTGGCCAGACGTCTTGGATGATGTGAAGGTATCCAGAAGTAACCACACCCATGCCACACACTGTTCGGTGGACAGAGGCTGAGTGGGGGATTTAAGACACTATCCATGGAAAAGTGAAAAACAAATTAGAATTTTTTTTTGTTTAAAGAACTGCGCGATTTTGGGGTCAAGTCTTTCGAGTGCGAGCGACGGGGCGAGCGAGGGGGCAGGTGAGCGAAGGAGCGAGCGCATAAGATGTGCAACTCATATGCACCGGCCCTCAGATTGTCTCCGAACGCCGAACAGTTCAGGAAACTCTGCAAGACTCTTTGTTTTCCTTTCAGCTTTCCCTTGAGTATGTCCTCACATTTTTATATATTTTTTTACATGCGTCTTGATTTTATAGGTAAGATTCATACGGTCAAGTATTGCGATGCCCTCTTTAGTGGGGGGTGGGGGGGGTGGCGAGTTTCTTGCTCAACAAATAAATGGAATGAAGGAAGAATACCGGTTTCTTCTGGTTCTTGACGGGCGTCACGACGTCGCGATTGCGCCAGTCGATCTCGTTCGGCAGCGACACGTCGAGTGGAGCGTTGATGAACGACTCTGTCCACTTCTTCACCTCGTTGTCTTCCTCGCTCGCGTCATCGTCGTCATCTGCCAGCGGCTCCATCGCCGCCATCTGCAGCTGGAACTCTTCCTCCGACTGCCATGGGGAGAGGATGAGGCAGAAGACGAGGGAGCCAAGTTATCGTCACCGCCCACTGTTAAACAGATAGCATGTATACCGTACGTGTGCTTCACGACACACAGTGCCGGACTAAGCTAGTGCGTGACCTGTAGCATATGTTATAATGGGGCCCTAAATAAAAAAAACAAACACGTGTAAAAAATGTTTTACCCGCATAGTAATGTAATTGTATTTTTTTTTCATTTGCTATGCGGCCAGATAATACGACAAATCGCTAACCTTAAACACCCAGTCGTTCATAATAGTTGAAGGCGGTATAGTACGATAGTGATAGAGCAAGTGCAGAATAACTGAACCGGAATTGATAGCTTGAAAGCATTTAGCGCGGGTGCCCTTGAAAGTGCGGGGCCCGTAGCTACTACATATGTAGTAGTAGCTACTACTACATGTGTAGTAGAAGCTACTACTACATGTGTAGCTACTTTTGCTACTAGGATAATCACGCACTGCCCATACGGCGTACAGCCGTTTCAATACTCCCTTGTGATGGGACTTTCTAAGATGAACGTTGGAATTTATAAGGGCACAGGGTGACAAATAAGGTATGAATTGGTCTGCAATAAGGCAGGCACTAAAAAGGGGGTAGACAGGTATGCATGAAACAACAAAGCTAATGATGACAATTGCATACCTTATGCACAGAGAGGAGAGATTGGTGTCAGAAAGATGTGGCACCACTTGAGCATACTGTCACAAGGCAGAGAGGAAAGTGGAGACAACTGACAGAATGTGCAGAGGACACATACGGGGCTGTCCGCCCATGGATCGTGATGACGACGATGCCCATGCAGCACTTGTGTAGCAATGCGGACACAGACGCGGCCGCACGTACCATGTCCCCGTACTGGTTCATGGCCAGCGTGTAGGAGTGCTTGCCGAGGGCCTCCTCCAGGTTATGCCGATCGATCATCTTCAGGTTGTGCTCCCACACGAGGCGACGCTGGCCCTCCTCGGCCTGTGCACCACCAGGGGGAGACGAGGGTGGAGAGTGTAGCGGCCTCTAGTGGCAGCGGAGAATCGCACGGACCCATTAGAACGTCCTGGCCCGCGGGCCGTATAGGGCCCGCGAAATCATTTGGGTCTGGCCTCTACCAAGGCTTGGCAGGCGGGACTCGAAATTCAATAAATCTAGGAGCAAACCTGGACAAGCAGTTGCGAGTAGCAGCAACATCATCAATACCAGCTAACATCATCAATACCAGCTAACATCATCACACGCCTCGCCAAAGAGAAGCAGTTCCAGCCATCGCATTAGGGGCGAGTTAATTGAATGTTTGACCAAATATAACGGGCAAATTTTTAAGTTGATAATTTTGTACGGCCCGCGAATGATGTTATATAAATATCCAAATGGCCCTTGGCAGAAAAAAAGGTTCCCCACCCCTGCATCATTAGACAAAGCATGCAAATGTGGAAACGATCTCTTCCCTATCATTCGTTGAATGTAAACAAAATATATATTCAATTTTAAAACTAAAATATGTTTATTTTTTTTCCAGGTTGGGCCCAACTGAGTTGTATAGCTCCTCTTCAGAAGCGACCTGGCTATCACAAATGACAGCTCAACGAAGTGGCTTATTGCGCGGACATTTATAGCAGCAGGCAAATAATCTAAACGCGTGATTCTACATTTGCAGGAAAAAAAACCGGAGCACCCGGAGAAAAATCCACGCGACCACGGGGAGGGTGAACACGCAAACTCCAAATATACAGCATGCATCGTCAGGGTCGGGATCGAACTCACGACCTCCTGTGTACCAGGCGAGGTAGTTAACATCTCCTAGCCACCGTGATGATGATGAGAGAGAGAGAGAGACACGCAAACTCCAAATATACAGCATGCATCGTCAGGGTCGGGATCGAACTAACAACCTCCTGTATACCAGGCGAGGTAGTTAACATCTCACCACGGAGAGAGACGCAAACTCCAGAATATCATCATGTATTAGGGTCGGGATCGAACCCACGACCTCCTGTGTACCAGGCGAGGTAGTTAACATCCCACCATGGAGAGGCAGAGAGACCCAAACTCCAAATATACAGCAGCATGCGTCATAGTTGGGATCGAACCCACGACCTCCTGTGTACGAGGCGAGGTAGTTAACATCTCACCACGGAGAGAGACACAAACTCCAGAAAACATCAACTATGAGGGTCGGGATCGAACCCACGACCTCCTGTGTACCAGGCGAGGTAGTTAACATCTCACCACGGAGAGATACACAAACTCCAGAAAAACATCATGTATGAGGGTCGGGATCGAACCCACGACCTCCTGTGTACCAGGCGAGGTAGTTCATATCCCACCACGGAGAGACACGCAAACTCCAGATATACAGCATGCGTCATGATTGGGATCGAACCCACGACCTCCTGTGTACCAGGCGAGGTAGTTAACATCTCTCCACGGGGAGACAGAGAGACGCAAACTCCAAATATACAGCAGCATGCGTCATGGTTGGGATCGAACCCACGACCTCCTGTGTACCAGGCGAGGTAGTTAACATCTCACCACGGAGAGAGACACAAACTCCAGAAAAACATCATGTATGAGGGTCGGGATTGAACCCACGACCTCCTGTGTACCAGGCGAGGTAGTTAACATCTCCTAGCCACTGCGGCGGCGCCCTAAGTTGAACCACCACCGCAACTTAAATCCTCGCTTGTCACACCTCGTCGTAGGCCTTGCCGTAGCGGCTCTTCCAGGCCTCCCAGTGTGGCTGCAGGTGAGGGTCTCCCCGCTGCTCCGGGCCTGCCGGCGTCGCCACGGTAACGGTGACCATGACGACGACGAGGGGGATGAGGAGGAGGAGGAGGGGCGGAGCCACAGTGGTCCTCTGATTCGCCACTGTGAGGGGTGGGGTGTGTGTGGGGGGGGGGCGAACAGCTGAGCACCACCTTCACCAGCACCTTACAATTTGAGACTGAGAGTCGTTGTGTGTGTGTGTGAGTCTCACAGCTGTCAACCCGTACGGTTTATCCGTGTTCTTGTACGAAGGAAATTGAGTTTTAAAAAAAGTGTTTTTCAATTTTTTATGCTTCTCCCTTATGATGGTAACTTTGGGGGCCGTCCATAAATGACGTCACGCGATTTTGGACGATTTTTGACCCCCCCCCCCCCCTCGTCACACGGCGTCACAAAAAGTCAGACCCCCCCTCAAATATGACGTCACAAAGCTCTGCCCCCCCCCTCCAAAACCATATTTCCATTTTTAAAATAAAACATGCTTCAAATCGCTTTAAACTATTGTCATTGTAGTGCGTATTTAATGTGGCGCTGCACTCTGATGGTGTGTGTTGTTATAACAATGTGTTGTTATACAATGTGTTGTTATACCAATTAGTGTTGTATTAACAATTCTATATTAATTTAAATTTGCACATTTTGATGTGACGTCACATTTCTCAACTTCCCCTCCCCCTCGTCACACATCGTCACAAATATCTGACCCCCCCTCCCCCCCTAGGTGCGTGACGTCATTTATGGACGGCCCCTTTGTAGGATGAAAGTTGAGATTTATAAGGGGCACGGGGTCACCAATAAGGTCTGAATTGGTCTGTAATAAGGTAGGGCACTAATAAGGTGTTGACTGGTACTGTCTGTTCAACACCAATGACGATTATCTGAACCTGAACCTGGGCCTCCTCCCCTAGGTCGAATCAGCCTCAAATGAGTACCTGGTGCGGTTTGTAAACATCGCGACTAGGGAGACAAAGGCGGCCGGGCGTGGTGTTGGCCACCCACCCCCTCGTGTGCCATGCGGGCCTTCATAGGTGCTACTCGCTAAGAGCACTTGCCCCAACAGACTGGTAAGGCTCCACGGGGGATCTTTGTTTGCTCTCTGTCAGTTCGGCCAACGTGAATCAGAATCTTTTTTTGGACCGGGCGAATCCGATGAGCGGTGAAGCTCTTTATCACAGATGTCCCCACCAGGCTCACAGATGTCCCAGTAGGTGGCTCAACAAGGCAGCTCTCGATCGGGAATGTTGCGAGTTCAAGACCTGGTTAAGGTGTTGCCTCAGCCCATGGAATGAGTACCGCTTGAATGGGTACCACTTTTCAACGAGGATCACAGGACGACTCGCCCCTGCCATAGGAATGCAGAATTTCCACCACCGGCATTGGAGGGCTATAAAAAATATGAGATGAGCACCAAACTGCCAATGCTCATTTGAGCAGGAAGTCGCTTTTGGCTGTTTCTTCTTCTTCTTCTTAGTTTGTCCGTTCTGTATCGGGAGAGGGCGCCAAGAGAACTCTCATCAACGACCCCACCACGCAATCCCCTGGGATCACGCTGCTGCTGCTGCCGCTGCTGCTGCTGTCACCATCCTAGAATCTCGCCCGGATGCGGGAAAGTAAAAAACAGGTCCCTGCAGGGTGGGCTGGTAGGAACATTGGAATTTTTCACTTCGTTAAAGTATTGAAAGGGGACGGACGGACGGACACATGAATCTATTGCAGGCTGGTACACTCAGTTTACAACTTCGTTCCTACCAGTATAAAGCCACTGACGAGTAGAGTGGAGCAATGCCACCTCATTCGGGACCCTAAACATCATCATGATCGCACCTCATTAGACCTCCTTTGCCAGTACCGAAATGTAATAATAGGGTACGCCTTTTGGCGTCATCTGGTCGAGCATCAATTGGGTCGAAGCTCAAAAGAAAGCTGTCCCTTGGTGTGAACCACCAATCAGTTTCAAGGACAATGCATATATTGCCATAGTATGTTTTTGTTTGCATTTTGACTGCAGGTATTGTGGTTAATGCAGACATGAATCCTCGTAAAAAGGTTTCAGTTTTGTTGCCAGAAAAAAGGGGGAAAAACCCTATTATTACATATTGGTCCTGGAAAAGGAGGTCTGATGATGTAGATGCTCACCCCGAGCCCTCATTACTTTGATAGTGGATTGTCTTTGAAATGTACGCCTTTTGGCGTCATCTGGTCGAGCACCAATTGGGTCGAGGCTCAAAAGAACGCCGTCCCTTGGTGTGGACCAATCAGTTTCAAGAACAATGCATCATATATTATCATAGTATGTTTTTTTGTTTGCATTTTGACTGCAGGTATTGTGGTTAATGCAGAAATGAATCCTTGTAAAAAGGTTTCAGTTTTGTTGCCAGAAAAAAGGGGAAAACCCCTATTATTATGATCGCACCTGTTCCGGGCATTGACATTCTTCCTCAACGACGCGGTGGAGGAACCATCACTCGCATCATCAGAACATCGATAGCAGGCTGATGCGCGCGTCTCCTTCATGAACGGAAAATATAAGCCACAAGCCACTGGAGTGAGATGGTGGCGATGCAAAGCCAAACTATGGACCTTGTAGCAAACCCACAGAGACGCGTAAAGGCCCATAGAGACCTATAAAGACCCATATAGATGCATTAAAGACAAGCCACAAGCCACAGTAGTGTGGTGGTGGCCATGCAAGCCAATCTGTGGGCCATCCAGCAAACCGCACTGCGGTCTGCGCTCCTTCAACGGAGAAGGAATAGCAACACGACACAAACTCTTCCTCACTGATGAAGACCCGTCGAGGCCAGCAGACTTCAACATTGCCAACTATTACTTGAACACATTGCTACCACCATGTGCCAACTATCACCTGAACGCATCGCTGCCACCATGTGCCAACTAGCACCTGAACACATTGCTGCCACCATGTGCCAACTAGCACCTGAACACATTGCTGCCACCATGTGTCAACTATCACCTGAACACATTGCTGCCACCATGTGCCAACTAGCACCTGAACACATTGCTGCCACCATGTGCCAATTATCACCTGAACACATTGCTGCCACCAAGTGCCAACTCGCACCTGAACGCATTGCTGCAACCATGTGCCAACTAGTACCTGAACACATTGCTGCCATCATGTGCCAACTAGAACCTGAACACATTGCTGCCACCATGTGCCAACTAGAACCTGAACACATTGCTGCCACCATGTGCCAACTAGTACCTGAACACATTGCTGCCACCATGTGCCAACTAGTACCTGAACGCATTGCTGCCACCATGTGCCAACTAGAGCCTGAACGCATTGCTGTCATCATGTGCTAACTAGAACCTGAACACATTGCTGCCACCATGTGCCAACTCGCACCTGAACGCATTGCTGCCACCATGTGCCAACTATCACCTGAACACATTGCTGCCACCATGTGCCAACTAGCACCTGAACACATCGCTGCCACCATGTGCCAACTAGCACCTGAACACATTGCTGCCACCATGTGCCAACTAGTACCTGAACGCATTGCTGCCACCATGTGCCAACTAGTACCTGAACACATTGCTGCCACCATGTGCCAACTAGAACCTGAACGCATCGCTGCCACCATGTGCCAACTAGCACCTGAACACATTGCTGCCACCATGTGCCAACTAGCACCTGAACGCATTGCTGCCACCATGTGCCAACTAGCGCCTGAACGCATTGCTGCCACCATGTGCCAACTATCACCTGAACACATTGCTGCCACCATGTGCCAACTAGAACCTGAACGCATTGCTGCCACCATGTGCCAACTAGCACCTGAACGCATTGCTGCCACCATGTGCCAACTAGAACCTGAACACATTGCTGCCACCATGTGCCAACTAGAACCTGAACGCATTGCTGCCACCATGTGCCAACTAGAACCTGAACACATTGCTGCCACCATGTGCCAACTATCACCTGAACACATTGCTGCCACCATGTGCCAACTAGAACCTGAACGCATTGCTGCCACCATGTGCCAACTAGCACCTGAACGCATTGCTGCCACCATGTGCCAACTAGAACCTGAACACATTGCTGCCACCATGTGCCAACTAGAACCTGAACACATTGCTGCCACCATGTGCCAACTATCACCTGAACGCATTGCTGCCACCATGTGCCAGCTAGCACCTGAACACATTGCTGCCACCATGTGCCAACTATCACCTGAACGCATTGCTGCCACCATGTGCCAACTAGCACCTGAACGCATTGCTGCCACCATGTTCCAACTAGAACCTGAACGCATCGCCGCCACCATGTGCCAACTCGTACCTGAACACATTGCTGTCACCATGTGCCAACTAGCACCTGAACACATTGCTGCCACCATGTGCCAACTATCGCCTGAACACATTGCTGCCACCATGTGGCAACTATCACCTGAATGCATTGCTGCCACCATGTGCCAACTAGCACCTGAACGCATTGCTGCCACCATGTGCCAACTAGTACCTGAACGCATCGCTGCCACCACCGTGGAAGCCTCAGTGGTGTGATGCTCGCGGAATCAATCGCGTTACGGATGAATGCAAGAGGCCCTTACTTGCAAGCGAGATGCACCGACCAAGTTGGGAGGGGGACCTTGTCCGTGATGTCTCAAGCGATCGGGTCGCCTCCTCTTTTTATACACGGCCAGAATCGCAGACAGTCAGCTGAACTAACTCGATGTGTTGGCAAATATCTCTGTACCCCCACCACCACCACCACCGCCCCCCACCCCACCCCAGCCCAGCCCCCCACCCCCGCTCCTGCCAAAAAAATATATAATAACCAGAAAAAGGTGAAGTGTTTATGAGAACCTGCGGCTGCCGTCACGGGGAAGAGTGAAGTCTCCTGCCTTATCTTCAACCGCTGTGCTCCTTGTGAAAGCGTGACCTGGGCCGGGGTCTGCGAAGAGTTGGAACGGTTCGGGAATTTGTGTCCTTTTTTTGGGGGGGGGGGGGGAGCCTCGTTGCTTTACTTCAATTTTTTCATCGCCCTCTTGGCAAGTGACGCTCGCCCTGGCTTCTTGAGTTCTCGCCGGGTTAAAACAAAGCACAAAAATTGGGCCTGTGGCAGCCGTCTGTTGTTGTCATTGTTGTTGTTGACAGCGGTGGTGCTGGCATATTGGAGGGGGGGGGGGGGCTAAACTCCGAATGAGTTGACAGATCGTCTATGGATATCGGGGGCGGTGACTTGGCCAAGCGGTGGCAGATCCCACCGCTCGTTTGCAAAAGGTTGGTGGTTCGAATCGAGCGGCCGCCCCTGGTTAACACTTGCGCTCTGCGTATTTTTTTGACCTCTTAAACAAATTACGGGCCACGTTTGAAAAAATGACGCCCGTGAATGACTCGGTTGCAATATGGACATCGATTACGAATAGTTTACAGGGTTTTTTTTTGTATGCACGTATGTTGAACTTATTTTGCACGGTACGTTGCCAACCGTGCTGATCGTGGGTGCGTACTGTTTGTACGTACTGCGTGTCTGTACGATGTGTCTACTGCGGTGCGTGTACTGTGTACGTGTGTACGATGTGTACACATGCACGAATGTTTAACTTCTTTTGCACCGCACGTAGCCAAACGTGCTGATTGGGAGTGCCCCTTCCTATGAAAATACAAATGCCACGACCCTCCTGAAAGTGAGGCTTTCCTGGGTAAAGAAGCAGAACAGCAACAGCAGACGACAGACAGCGAGGCAGCGAGATGAGAGACATGCAGACAACGAGTTGTTAGATAACGGAAGGGTGATGGAGTAGCAGGACAGATGTGAACCTTTCGAGATGCAATCCAAGGGTTGTCGATTGAGAGAAGAGAGAGATACAGGCACGACGGAGACGGGAGAGATTCGTTTGATTCTTATATTTATTACAATTCAAAAAATGGTGCAAATTTGTTTTTAAATCTTCCCCTCTCACCCCCAGACCAACCCCAGCAGCACAGGGTGCTTAAAAAAAAGTTAAAACTTACATGGGACTATTGTTTTTAACGGGAAGAAGAAAGGTTAATACACAGTAACATGATAACAAATGTATGTTAATAGCTTCACAAAGTCAAAGAGTCTCCCACTTGTTCGCCATCATTGTCAACACGTGGCCCGGAATCTTCTCTGGGTGGTCTTCAGAGCCAAGGCCGTAGCCATGGAGTCAACATTGGGGGGGACCAAATATTCCAGGGGGTCTGGGGGTGTCCCAACCCAGAAAAAAAAATCTAAATTTGAAAACGAATTTCCTGCCTAAAATATTTATAAATTCTCTAACACATGGGATGGACTTTTTTTTTTACAATAATGTCTAAGAGTGTGTATTGTACTACATTCCTCTGTTTTACCTTTTTTTACCTTATATTGTTTCATTGTATGTAATGACAGAGATTAGGGATTAATAAAGTACAACCATAACCACAATCATATAAACAGAAATCTATGCATTGTTGCATGAAGACAAGTCCAGATATTGTGGCCAAGGTTTAGCAAATTGTTGTTTTTATTTACATAGCATAGCAATTATTCTTATAGCAATATATTGGAGGGGATGTGTGTCCCCCACCCCCAAATACATATCATAATTACGGCCTTGTCCAGAGCCCAGAGGCACATTTCTTTGTGGCATCGTTGCAAATTCTCAGAAGCGTTAACATCTTTTTGAAGCACTCTGTACACATGTGCAGTGGCATAGCGCTGGCTGCTGGCGGTAAAGGGGATCTGCGGTGTACGGCAGTGCTGACTTCAGCAGGCCACGATAGACACGGGAGGGGGACATCTAGGGGGGAAAGGTCACAGAGGGGGGCCCATCGGGAATCCTCGGGAACCCTGCTAGTAGGTTCCAGAGAGGGGGCGTGGCCCGGGGGCGGAGCTAGGCCACGCTGGGAGTATAAGAGGGCCCCCCCCCCTCTGTGTGGGACACCGTGGATGTTGCTGGAAGTGGGATCCCCGTCGTGCTGCTCAAGATCGCCATTACCAATCTCGTCGTCGCCATCACCGATGCCGTCTTCACTCGACATTGCGCTGCTAGATGGTTGTTGGCTGTCTCCGTTGAGCGCCGTCAGTGTTAGACGGTTAGAGTTGTGTATAGAGTGGTCACCCACGTAGGGTGTGTGTATTATCCCGATGGTCCTCGTTCAATAAAAGAAGTGCCTCCAAGTCTGTCTCCGAGTTAGTCGCTACACATGGGTAGAGCCGAGTGAGTCGATCGACAGGTCTCGTGCGGTGGGGTTAAACGTGGACACTGCCGTCCTCTTCCAAGACGTCTGGCCTGCGTGGAAGAGTAGGCCCATTACCCTCCAGAGGGGCACTCTACCCTCTCGTAGACGCCCTTCCGCCAGATGCGATGTGAGCGAGGAATGAACTATGATTTTTTTTTTGCGGGTAAGGAAGGCCCACTGAGCTATATGGCTCTTTTTTTTCAGAAGCGACCTGGCCACAAATGATAGCTCAACGAAGTGGCTTGTGAGCATGTGGGAATTTATAGCAGCCAAATACTCGAAACACGTGATGTTGGTTCTAAATGTGGAGGGAAAAACCGAAGGACCCGGAGAAAAATCCACGTGACCACAGGGAGAGAGAGAGAGACACCGCAAACTCCAAATATACAGCAGCAGGCGTCAGGGTCGGGATCGAACCCACGACCTCCTGTATACCAGGCGAGGTAGTTAACATCTCCTAGCCACCGTGATGTTAAGGGTTACAGCGTTGCCCCGTTACAGTGCAAGAGTCAATGCAGATCCCTGGGGTTTGATCTTCCGCGAAGCTGATTAAGGTCCACCCTAAACCGCATCCGCTACACAAACCGTGGCAGCAGCAGATGCGGACACCCTGATGATGCGCAGATGGAAAATTAAAAACTCTCCAGCAGTAGTGGTGTGCGACTGTGGTCCTCCAGAACAGACCGTAGTGCAACGTGTAACGACGCAATGGCCCGATCCACAAATACGAAGGCGACATCACAGCGGCGGCGATCCGCTACTCCGCTGGCCCCTGACGCTGTGGTCTGGGTTTGACCACCGGAATGTCAAATTGTAGTCGATTTTGACTTAAAACTTTTGTGACTGCAGGAATTGATATTCTTAGGTTCTGTCGGTAAAGTCACGTCGATAGAAATAATAATAATAATGAAAATAGAGTGAATAAAAATTACGTTTCGATCGCAACACAAGCGGCCGTCATCAGGTTAAGGGGTTAGCATCTAAAGGCTAACTGTTGATAAAGGTTTGGAGATGGGCGTAGCTCAAATATGTCAGCAGCTGGTCCTGGTTCTACTGACACACTTGGGCTACGCCCATCTCCAAACCTTTATAAACAGTTTGCCTTTAGAGGCTAACGCCTTAACCTGATGACGACCGCTTGTGTTGCAATCAAAACGTCGTGGTATTTTTAATCACTCTATTTTCATTATTATTTTTTTCTATCTACATGACTTTACCGAAAGAACCAAAGAATATTGTAGTCGATGCTCTGCATCTACGTGAGCCGTACGACACGAAGAAGTCTCTTTAAATGCACGATGACGTTACGTAGTCTATAATGTGTACATCAAGTGCAATGGAATCACATTATGTAGTATAGTATGTATGTGTGTATGTATGTTGTCAGATACATTTCTTTGCATACTGGATCATTAAAAAAAACACTTTCAACACTGCCACAAATGTATGGGATGTGAGTGAATCCAGGATCAGAATCTGTATGTAGACTGGAAGAATCTGATAAGTTATGAAGCTCTTTCTTTTTTACAGATGTCCAGTCGGGGCGGGTCAGAAAGTTGCAACAACAAACAGTCCAAACACAAGTCACTGAATAAAAATACAAATAAAGTACTGAAGTACACTTTGCATAAGTGCATATAAATGCCTGCCGATGTTTCAACAATAAATGCAATCTTAGACAGGGCAGGAAACAACAAAACAGTCCCAGAGCCACACCAAGACAGCACACAGCCCCTGAATAAAACTGCACATTAAAATGGAACTGTGGATACGTGGGTAAGGATCACAGTTACAAATCACATTGGCAAATGTGGTTGCTATCCAGCGCTAATCATGCGCTCCAGGTTGTTTCCAAACGTTTGGTGCTGCAATCCGTGACGAGGCAAGATCTGCCTTGGACCGATAAGTCAGGGGGAAGAAAAGGGAATGACGGGGCTATTGGCAAAGTCTGTGGTTGTTGCGCACGAATGGGGGAAGTGATGAAGTTAGGCCGGTGGAAATAACCCAAAAAAAAAACACGCGCCACCATCAGCAATAATTTTTTTGTCTCATAAAAAATTATGTCAACTTGTAACTCGCTGCTGCGCAGTGTTACGGACTACCGCTCTCTCTCTCTCAAAGAGAGAGGGGGGGGGGCACTCAGAGGCAGCGAGGAGAAAACGAGAGGGGGAATGAAGGCAGCAGGCTGACGTTGAGCCGGTGCCGCGTTCACCGCTAAGCGGAGGGTGGCAGAAGCTTGGGCAGGGTGACAGCAGGCACCGCGGTGTTGGGCACTTGTGTCACTTGTCACGAAGCGAGATGTCTGTGGACGCTCCGCTTCCTAGTGGCCAATGCGGACCGATACTACAGTGTTGGTGGTGGTGGTGTTGTTGTTGTTGGTGGTGGTTTTGGTGATGGTGGTGTTGGTTATGGTGGTGGTGGTGTTGGTGGGGGTGGTGGTTTTGGTGATGGCCGTGTTGGTTATGGTGGTGGT